TGCAAAGTCTGAAAGAGTCCTTGTACTCTCTAGATATTAGCCACCGATGTAGTAATAAATTCTTTTGTGTTGATGATGGCCTTGCCCAGTCTAATTGCGGGTCTACCACGTGATTAAAGTCCCCCATTAAGATTACAAAATTTGTTCTTTCGTAAAATGTAATCTTGTCACGAATCTTAGCCGAAATTTCTTTTACCACTTCGCTATTGCTTGTGGGAGATAAGTCACTATAACCAAGAGCATAATGTTGTTTGGTAAATAAAAGCTCACAATTAATAAAAATTCATTTAACTTTTCTACTTTTCCAATATATTTCTCTAATCTTTTGCTGATAAGTAACCCTACACCTGAGCCTTTAGATTTGTTTACGTCTGCACTAGCCCAAATTCCTCAATAATTGTCTTTATCTTTCATTAAGAACTTTTCTGTACACTCTTGTATATTAGTCTCTATCAACCCAACCAAATTGAAACCTTCTTGCGCAGCCCATACTAACACCAGATCTAACCGATAACTACGTGACTTTAACCTATTAATATTATGTACCACTATCTTTAGAACCCTATCATTTTCTTCTATTATACTCCTTCTCTGCGTTGGAAGGGTCCAGGCATCCTTCTCGCACATTTCCTGGACCCTTTTTTCCATAAAAACGCCTGTAGCAACTTTTAGGAGCGATTCTGCGCCCCTAGGCTACTCTGCCTTAGCTCTATCACATTGAGTCTTTGAAGAATTTGCTCAAGGATCGTGTTTTGGATATTTTCTTTCTGTTCTGTATTGTGAACTCCTGTCTCTATTTGCATTTCTGTAGTCACTACTTTTCTTGTTGTGGACTTCACCTCACCATGACCTGAAGATTTCTTGGTATCACAAAGAATATTTTCTTTACTTCTATTGTTCTCAAGTAGTGGTAAGGTTCTCCTTTTTAGGCGAGGTGTATCAGCAATATCTTTAGGAGCGGTTGACTTGTTGGCTTTCATTTTTCTCCTCTTATCTGTCAAACCACATGCCTCGTTGCTTTCTCTTTTGCAGTTACAGTTCCCTTCTTTCGTAGGCATCTTCCACTCCAATTTAGTACTAAAATAATAAGAAATTGATTCTTGCGCTTGTACCAAGTCTTCCTCAGTTTTAAAGTATACATGTGCCCTTCTGCACTGATTACTATTACGATTACTTAGTATGTGTACTGCTTGCACCTTGAATCTTTTTAATTGTCTGAGAAGCAGGCTATCAAAGGCAGATGTTGGTATATTGAAGATTGTGCTTTTGAACTTGTTTTATTCTTCTAATTCTTTAATGTTGAATTTTCCAGGTGTTGTTTGATAAGTTTTACCCTGATCCAAATGTATAGACCAATTTTCTCTTAAGGACTTTCCTCTCTCCTCTATATTCAAAACAATCTTGATAAAAGCTGCTTTGATAGTAAAGTTATGTTGCTATGCTAGTATTGTTGCTTCCCTAAAATATCTTAAAAATTTCTTAATTCTTTCCCCACTCATATCTCTTAGGAGGTCCCACAAAGTAAAAAAATACAGTGATTTGTATGTATACTTTCCTGATGTGTATTCACTACTCAGAGCCCACATTGAGTTATAGATGTCCTCTTGTTTTTTGGACTTTTTCTGTTTGCCTTCTACCCTTGTAGACCTTACTTTGTTGCTAGCTAGTATCTCTTCGAGACCATAGTCCAATGTACCGACCTCATTTTGAATAAGTGTGTTTACTCTTGTCTCTTGTTTATGCTCAACTAAGTTATTACTACTCTCCTGTTCTTTGAGGCTTCTTTTACGAGAGCTGCCATTGTTGTTGCAAGTTGTGTTGTTACTATAATTTTCGGATATAATCACAGGTTTTGTGAAACTAATTTCCATATCAGTAGGACTTGGATTAAGATTATTGTCTTCTTTCTGTGTTATCTCTATACTATTGCTTTGTCCCAGTAAAATTTTCTCCTTGTTAGATAGTAAATCCTGCTTGAACTCCTTGTTTCGAGCTTAATTATACCTATCAACAACCTCTCATAAAGCTGCTATAAAAAGTACATCTTTACAACCTAAAAAGTCTGCAATGTGACTGTCCTGTTCAACTAATGTTGCCTTTTGTTCCTTATATAATACTAGTTTCTCCTTATTGGTTTGGTTAAAGAAATTTCTGTACTTTCAGATTTATTTAATATTTATTATTTTTTAAATCAGTAATAATTTAATAAATTAAAATAGCATAAATTTCAAGTGAAGATTTATAATCAAAAAAAAAGAAAAAAGACAACTTTATTACTGGATACATCAATTTTATTTCTAATTTTAAACAGAAATAGGATTCCTATTTATTTTTATCAATATATTTATTATCTCTGCCTATTATATTATATTATTTTCGAGTTCTTAATGCAAATGATTCATCATATTTACCTATTATTTCTATGAATTATTAATACAAGTATATCATCTAGTTTAGTTTTAAGACTTTTTAAATATGCAAGTAACTTTATATATCTGGCTATTAAAAAATAAATGCTTCCACGACTTCTTAATACAAATATATTATCTGGCCCAATTTCTAATGATTTATTAAATCGGCAAGCGATTTATTATATCTGCTCAAGTATGATTTAAATATGACAGTAAAAATAATTACTCAATTTAAAACTATTTAAAATAATAATATTAAGTTATATATATATATATGTGCTTTATCTAGTTCTCTCCACCAAGAACTAAGACATATAGCCATTCATACTATCTTTTCACTCAATCGACTCCACTTTTTAGTTATTATATTATCACTAATACTAAACACTTGTTCACTTGGAATACTTGTAGCAGGTATCAGAAGACAGTCTCTGGCAAACTTTGAAAGATTTGGATAATTAGATTCATTTATTTACTACTATTCTAAAATATTTATATATGAATACAAGTATATATTAAGCTTGCTCTGATGTTCAATATGGGTTCATTTGTAAATTTGTGATATTATATTCATTTGGAATAGTTCAACAATTGAGTTTACTATCTCTTGACCAAGAACAGATACATAATAATTTTCATATTTATTTTTAATACTATAAAGTAAGTAGTATATATAATTAATATATTATTATATATTTTATATTACAAATTATATTAACATGTTTTTGATTTGACTAATAAGTTGTGATGACTATTCAAGTTTTTCAAAATACTAGAACTTAAGCCATGGATTTAATACTACTGCTGAAATATACCAAATACTTGTTTTTTGATAATATTCTATAAGCTTAGTAGTTGCTGCTTGACATCTTTGTACAAGCCATTGTGGTATATTATTTCTTTGCTGAATTTCATCAAGCGTTTTAAACAATATGTGATAAAAAGATATGACTATCAATAATATTGGATATTCAGATAATGACAGGATAGTCATTACTAAGCAAAATTATATATAGTTTAATAAGTTTATTAATATGAAAACATTACAAAATAGTTTACTAACTATCTTTGAATAGTTTCAAAACTTTAACTACAAGTTTAATTTTATCCTACTCATCCTTACTAAGAACTTGTTGCCATGAATCTGGTTTAGCTAAAGTGATACTATCTAATACTATTTGTAACTTTACAGCCCAACTACACATTTCAAAGATAAAATTTCACCTAGTGCATACATCAAGAATCAGCTTCAGTTAACTATATTGTGAATTTGGTAAGATAGACAGTGGTAATTTGGCAAAGTTAACATTGCTATTGGGTAAACTTTTTTTTAACCCATGCAAATTTTCAAATATTTAAGTCACAAAACAATATCATATTCAAGAATAGGCCTGTAAAAAAAAAAAGATCATGTGATAGGTCAAATTAGTAAAAAATTATCACTTTGTATATGGTATTAAAAAGATAAAAATTTGATTGACAAGAGTAATTTGGCAAATTTTTGAAAATTTTTTTTTTTTTTAATATTTTCATTTTTATTTTTTTTTAAATTTTTTTGGGCTCTCTTTTCCTTTTTTTGGGCCAAAAGTAGTTTCTGTTTAGCTTTTTTTTGGGCTGCTATTTTTTTTTTTTGTTTTTTTTTCTTCTGCTAATCGTTTTGCTTCTCTGTTTGACTCTTGTAGTTGTTGCCAACTTTCCTCATTAGTCAGGAGCTTTGCAAATGAAAATGTCTTTCTTTTCTTTCGAGAAGGAGGTAATTCAGACTCTGTCTGATTCTCAGTAACTACCTGTAGATTTTTGGTGGGTGGAAGGTGTGAAACCGGATACTTAAAGGCCAAATGCAAATCGCATATTCTAGGATTTTTGTAAGTATCCAGTTCTTTCTTCACTGCTAAAATTTGAGATTTTAGCAAATCATTTTCATTCTTAAGTACTATATTTTCATTCTTAAGTGCTTTATTTTCTTCTATTAATTTGTAAATATTTAGGTAAGTAGAACAAAGATAATTTGAATTAGTAGGTATGTGAAATACTGAAAGTAGTTTAGTTTGTGAGACAGAAGGTTGAATACACGAAGATGTAATATTAAATTGCTTAGTTGTTAATGATGGGTCTAAACGATCAGGAGTGATGGCATCTGGGTTTAAAGACTATATTTCTGTTTTCTTGTAAGCATTACAAATAGCCTGTAGCATGTAAGTTTCAATAAAGGCTAAACCAAAAACTTTCGTGAATATGTATTTGGTTACTATTATTCCATCATTATCACTATAATATTTTTCACATGTTTTGCTATATAATTTTTTTAGATTAGCAAAAGAAATTTCTGACAGTTGTAGAACATATGTTGTATGTAGTGGAAGTGTGTAAAGAAGGATGCTATGATTGTAACAAAAGTCAACTAATGTATAACTAACATAACTTTTGTAACCATCTAGCATTAGTAAAACAGGCTGGGCAGGTGGAATTAAACTAATAAAATAGTTAAGGTACATTTGAAAGAGTTTTTCCTGCATATACCCTGTATCCAAAAACTCATTATGGTTCCCAGAGGTGCACCTTCTAACAAACTAAAAATCGTACGGACACCTTTATAAATAATTAAAGGTAGAATACAAGTTTCAGCTACTGAAATAGTTGGTGCAACTGAAATATAGGCATGGGAATTTCCATGTGCGATTTTATGAACTTGACATACACCTTTCCGGGTGAGAACTTTTTTTAACTTAGGCATGAATGTAAAACTAGTTTCATCCATATTCCATATTTGTGTTGTAATAAGGAAATTTTCATTGATAATTTTTTGAAGTTTTTGAAAATGATCTTTAACGATTACTTTATTGGCTTTTTGCACACACGCTTCTGATAATTCCTAAAGGACACGAAATGATAATTCTGGGTGATTCCTCATAAATTGTATTTACCAATCTTGATCTGGCCTATTTTTTTCAAAAGGATGAGATCACTAATTTAATCGCATAATTTCAATTATGCAATGATTAACTCTGACTTTGTTAAACCAAACCCAAGCTTTTGCATATTAATGCAATAGCCTACAAGTTGGTTTTCTTTATGGGCTATCAGAATATTAGATACATCTGGTTGATTAGCAGAACTGCCATTTTTAACGACATATTGAAAGGTAGTTTTTGCAGGACCAAACTCTTTCACCAAACTATTTATGCTTGGAGGCTTTGAACCAGCAAGGCAATTTTCTAATTTTTTGAGTGTGGTACGAATGGCCTTACCTCATTTAATATAAAGCGCTTCTGGCATATTTATTTTGGCTTTAATAAAAGGGTATAATAAAATTTCTAAAGGTGCAAAAAATAATATGACAAATAATGTAACAAATAACATAACAAACTTTACAAAAAATAATATAATGAAGTTTAAATTAACAGTAAATTGATTTTTATATAGATTCGTTGATCAGTAAAATAGTTGTTTTGTTGTACAAAAGTGTTCACGAATGTTTATATCTACTATAATGTGATCTATAATAAGAAAGACATTATATACAAATAGAATTATTTGATGAATTTGCGGGTTTCTTGTGATCCCATGAT